GTCAGTTCGGTATCAGAGCCCGTTGAAGTTACTTGCCATCCTAAGTCCTCACTTCTGGAACCACGGTCCCACGGATACGTTATTGGCGACGAGGATCACTTCTACTTCTGAACTCTAACCTGTGAGTGCACGTGTGTTTTGAATCAACGATGGCAAATCCACCACCGGTTGTCCTTCATGAGCAAGCGGCGTTAGCTCCGCTATTCAACAGTCTCTCAACGTTTGATCCTGCCACGATGCAACTTTCCACGTGGTTGGAGATGTTCGACGAATTTTGTTACGTAAACAACGTTCAACGGGAACCGGCTGGCGTTGCGCCCGGTCAAGCAGGACCGCGCAACCAGAGAAGAGCTCTGTTTCTTTCGTATCTGGGACCCCAAGCTTATGAAGCCCTACGTGCGGCGTGTCTAGCTAGTCATCCGACTTGTCTACCGAACACTAAGAGCATCCCCCAGTTGACAGCCTTACTGAAAGAGAGATTCGAACCTGTGGGGTTGATTCAAGCAAACCAATACATCTTTGACTGCAGGGATCAGAAAGAGAACGAATCGATTGCTGAATATGCTGCTGCCCTACAGGTACTTGCTGTGCCTTGCCAGTTTGGCGAATATCGTGATCGAGCCTTGCGGGACCGGTTCGTCAAGGGGCTGAAGTGCCATTCTACAAGGAAAGAGTTGCTGGGCACCAGGAACTTGACCTTTGAAGCAGCCAAGACCATAGCTTCCAACAATGAGGCCGTAGATGCCCACGCTCGCCGGATCACCAACGTACACAGAGTAACAGCTCAATACCAACAACGAAATCAACAAGGTACGAGGTCCTTTCAGAAACCACAGCAGCAACCGTTCAGACAGCAATGTTTCCGCTGTCGTGGCTCTCACGATGAGGCTAACTGTCACGTAAAATCTTGGACCTGCAGGAAGTGTGGAAAAACGGGACACATAGCCAAAGCGTGTAAGTCCCGCAACCAGAACCAGAGGAACTTCAATCAAAACAACCAGAACCAGAGGAACTTCAATCAGAACCAACAGAGCCAGAGGAACTTCAATCAGAGATTCAAGCCGAAGCGCAACGTGAACCAGCTCCAGACCAACGAGAATCCACCCAAGAAAGAACAGTGGTCGGAGCAAGCTGAAGCCATCAACCTAATCCATGGTATGTTCCCTGGCTCCAGTGATTTTGCCGAATTCTAGTCAGAACTTGTCAGTGAGAAAAATGAAAACTGTGATACCTTACCGTGATCAAGCATGTGTGATATTGCTTTTATGGCTAGCCAAGTGTGTGATGAATGAATGTAAGCGCTTACTTTTAACTGTGTGTGATTGTGTTGTGTGTGTGTATGTGTTCTTAATTAATTATAAATTCAAAGCTAAAGTGCATGTAATTATATCATTAGGGCAAATTAGATTTTCGCCACCCCTAGTTATTAGTTTAATTATCAATGGCAAAAGCATCAATTTTGAAGTAGATTCTGGCGCAGGCGCCACGGTGATGAATCTCACCAAGTTTCAAGAGGCATTTTCTAATATCAAACTTAACAAGTCACCTGTAGTTCTTAATTCTCTCTCAGGTCCAATTAAAAATTCAGGGCAAACCCCAGTTCATGTAGCGTACAATGGCAATGACCATGTACTCAATTTAATAGTTTGTGATACTAATCATGATTTCACTCCCTTATTAGGACGTGATTGGCTTGATACCTTAGTGCCAGATTGGCGAACTAAACTCAAAAATCATGCAACAAAAATTTCTTCTTTAAATCAATTGTCTCCGCCTTCCTTGGATCAACTAATGAAATTGTTCCCCAGAGTCTTTGATCAAAAGGCCGACACCTGTATCGAAGGGTTCGAAGCCCGCCTTGTTCTCAAGCCCAATGCCAGACCAGTGTTTGCCAAAGCTTATTCCCTTGCCTATGGTCTCATTGAACCTGTTAACAAAGTGCTAGACAAAATGGTAGAAGATGGAAAGGCTGTTCGTGTTAGGCAAGCTGAGTGGGCATCCCCAGGGTTAGCCGTTGCAAAAAAAGACGGTGGAGTGCGTTACTGCGCTGACTTTAAGCGCACGCTTAATCCACAACTTAGAGTAGATTATTATCCCTTGCCCGCTCCTGAAGCGGTGTTCTCTAGCTTGGCCAATGGTGCCTATTTCACTAGCTTAGACCTGACAGATGCTTACACCCAACTTGCCCTACATCCTGATTCACAAGATCTTTGTATACTTAATACTCATAGAGGCTTATATAAGTTAAAAAGGCTAATTTATGGAGTCGCCAGCGCGGCTGCAATTTTCCAGTCCACAATGGACTCCATACTTCTAGAAATAGAAGGTGTAATTTGCTATTTAGACAACATTTTGATTGTTGGCAAAGACTTAGCGCATTGTATCTCCCAGACATATTTAGTTCTATCTCGGTTGGAGAAACATAATGTGCGACTGCGTCTAGACAAATGTTTGTGGTTTGTGCAAGAGTTAGAATTCCTAGGCTTTAAAATCTCAAGTTCAGGCAGATCGCCCTCCCCTTCTCTGTTGCAAGACATTCTTAAGGCTAAACCTCCTACTGATGTAAAGCAATTACGCTCATTTCTAGGTTTAATCAATTTCTACCTTGAATTCCTACCCATGTTCAGCACACTAGCAAAGCCTTTAAGAAAATTAACTGAGTTGGATGTACCCTTTGAGTGGTCTGAAGAGTGTAACTCAGCCTTTGAGAATTGTAAGAAATTGCTCCAAAATTCTAATCTTCTTATGCATTTTGATCCAAAATTGCCCATTGTAGTCTGTAGTGATGCTTCACCTGTCGGTGTTGGTGCGGTTTTAGCACATGTGGTTACCATCAATGGAAAGAAAGTAGAAAGACCTGTAATGTTCGCATCAGCCACCCTATCTAAAACTCAACAAAACTACGCTCAGGTAGACCGAGAGGGTTTGGCTGTAATCTTTGCTCTTACTAGATTCTATAAGTTCTTATGGGGTAGACCATTTACAATTGCAACTGACAATAGTGCCATTCAAAGAATTCTGCATCATGAAAAAGGCCTTCCCACCAGAACAGGCCACAGGCTCCAACACTGGGCAATGCTGCTCCAGGGTTATTCATACAAAATTGAGCATAGGAAATCCCATCTAATGTCTGTACCTGATTGTCTCTCTAGATTACCATGTGACATCATCATCAATTATGTATCATCTATTATTAAGACCCCTATCACTGTTGAGCAAGTAGCACAATCCACTCTTAAAGACCCCATGCTTGTAACTGTTTTCAAGGCAACCTTCCATGGTTGGCCTTCAAAAAACCCCTTTAAGCAAAGTGAATTGTTAACTGCCTTCTTCAAAGAACGTGATGCCCTCTCAATTGAACAAAATTGTCTCATGTTTGGTAATAGAGTTGTGATTCCTGAGGCACTACAAGGAAATGTATTACAAATTCTCCATACTGGTCACCCTGGTATAGTCAGGACCAAATCTCTTGCAAGGTCCATGGTGTGGTGGCCATCATTGAATGAAGACATTGAAAAATTGTGTAAAAATTGTTATCCATGTTTAAAAGTCAACTTCAAAGTTCAGAGTACCTTCATCCCCTGGCCAGAGACGAAGTACCCCTTTGAACGTGTGCACATAGATTTTTTCTCTATCAAAAGAGTTACTTTTTTCATTTATTGTGATTCATTTAGTAAATGGTTGCACATCGAGAGAATGGATGTTACCACTGCTCCCTTAGTAAACGAGGTCTTATTTAACATATTCGCATTTTGGGGTTCGTTACCTTCTGCCATAGTTTCAGATAACGGTCCTCCATTTGATTCTCTACTGTTCCGAGAGTTTCTAACTAGATTCAACATTGTACTTAAGCATTCACCCGTCTACCACCCCGCCTCGAATTCTTTTGCTGAGAGGGGAGTGGGAGTTGCAAAGAGAGCTCTGGAAAAGTTGTTGGAAGATTTAAAATTGAACCATCCTGAATTGTGCACTGACTCTAATCCCCTGATCAAGGATAGAGTCAATTCATTTCTGTTTCATCATCGTAATACCCCTTCTAGTCAAACGGGAAAGAGTCCTAATGAAATCTTGTTAACTTTTAGACCTAGAACAATTCTATCTCAGTGTAATCCCAAATTAAGATCTTCTTTAGCTCACCCAAATTCGTTTGCAAAGTTTGAGCCCCAGGACAAAGTCTTTGTCAAGTTTCCTGGTAAACCCACAGTTGATGGTCTTATCTGTAGAAAAACTGGTCCTGTTACCTTTGATGTACTTATTGGAGGAAGAGTTGTCAATGTTCACGGAAATTATCTTGAAAGAAGAATGTGAAGTAGTTTAAAAATGTGTTTGTGTATGTAGTGTTATGACTTGTTGTCACCAAAGAGATCTCTTGTAAATTGTTGTGATTTGTGTAATTAAAATCCCTCCACCTTGTTTATATTTAGTGGGGAGTGGATGTCGTGTCCGCCAGATGGCGTTGTGTAAGGCACTGCCTTGTGAAATGTTTACCTGTGTTATCTCAGAATAATAAA